GGCGCGTCACTGCGCCCGCCGTGACCGCCGCATCGTCCTGACCCGGATGCTCCGACGAGGGACCCGCGTGAGCGGCGCAGGCCTCTCTGGGCGACCTCCTCACTACGGAGAAACTGTCGCCGTGGGGCTAGGGACCAGAACGTGGCCACACGGAGCTACTTCTATGACCCCGAGCTCTCGCTGCCGAGGGCACCGGATGCGGAGAACATGCAAGGGCCTGCCACGGAGCGTGCCCGACCCTGGCGTCCCTGGCGTCCTGCTCGTCCCGCTCCTCCACAAGATGCCTCGGAACCGCCCGGTCCCCACCCTGCGAGCGGCCCTGGGGCTGACCGCGTGGCCCGTGCCAGTGGCTCCTTTACCCCTTGGTTTCTGACGGGGTTTGCCAAGGAACATGCACGGCAGCCTCAGGGGAAGGTGAAGGCTGCAGTCCAGCGTTTCTCCCAGTCCTGGCCGGCGGCAGCCTGTCCCGGAGTCAGTCAGGAAGCCTCTGCAGCACAGGCTTCTGCTCTGTGGTTCCAGGCCCAGGATCAGAGGGTCCCAGCTCTAGGGCCTGGCCACCTTGCTCACCCGGTCCCCCGGGCACGCCCACCGCACTCACTCCCACGGAGGCTGCTCTTGGCCCTCATGGAGGAGGCCGGGACCTGAGCCTGAGGTCACTGCTCTTCCAGTTCCAGTTTGGTCTGTCCTGTGGTTCCGGTCTGCGGGCCTCCAGTGTCCTCTGTCCCCACAATGCTGTGACACTTGTGGTGTCCTCTAGCATACCTTCCCTCTACCATACTGTGGCTCTGTCGCAGGTAGGCAGCCCCGCAGGTCAGCTGTCACCAGGACGCCCTGCCTTCCGTGTGGTTGTGCAGTGGGCTGTAACGGAGGGTCGCCAACACCAGTGGCCCTTTTTCCCTCCAGATGACAGTGTGTCCAGGTGGAGAAAGGCCCAGGTTCCGGGATCACATCGAGGACGAAAACACATCCCCATTTTGCTGACCGAAGACTCACAGGGGAGAGGGACAAACCCGCCTCCCCCGGCTGCAGCAATCTGAGCAGGAAACACGGTTTTGCCACCTGGGTTTGCTCCCCCTTCTCCACCACGGGGTCCGACAGAGCTTGTGGCCCTCGGTGGCCGACTTGGCAGCATCTTCAAAGTCCTGGCCCTCGCCACCGCTTGAAACAGGAAGTCCCTTTGAATAGCGGCCCCTCCGAGCTGCGTGTGGCCCCGAGTGACGCAGACTGCGGCTAGAGGGCACCCCCTCCTTACAGGATAAGGTGCTCACTCTGCTTCTTCGCCGTCACCTGAGTAGTGGGTCTGCTTCATGGCAGGAAAACAGAGCACGCACACGGCGTCCACCCCGGAAGTCACCCAGCCCGGCGTCGGTGGGCTCTCCACCAGCACATCCGTGGGCGGACGTGTGAGCTGTGCTGTCCTGCCCTTCCTGGCGCATGTTCCCTCGCGTGCTCTGCCTCAAGCTGCACAAGCCTTCCGTGGAAACATCTGCAAGTTTTATGAACAGCCCCTCATTGCTTAGAAATGTTTGTCATTTTAATTCATTTTCTGGAGAGGTTTTTTCTATAGGGTGCATGTGCTTGCCAGAAAGACAGAGAAAGAGAGACAGAAAGTGGGAAATCACCCCCCAGGGGGGATAGCCACGCCGCAATCCCTTCTCCTCCATTCTCCTCTTGGGATCTTGGGCACGCACGCACACGCACCTGGTGTGAGTTGAAGCCACCAGGTCCGGGACTCGAGCCATGGTCAACTATGTTGGACTCCAGTGACACAGCCATTACACCAACTGCTGGTCCCTGTCATGTTAATTATTCTATTGTTATAACTGAAAGTATGATAAATGTCTTTGTGCATACCCGAGTTCCTTTAGTTTGGCTTCGTATTTCCCTATGAACGTTTTCTCCGGTATGAGGGGCATGACTGTGGTGGAGCTTGTGGGTCCAGAGGTGCCAGGGCCTGGGTCCTCCTCTCTGCGCGGCCTTCCATGGCGCAATGGCGATGCCAACAGTCCCTCGGCTGGGAGCTGCTCCGCTCCTGTCTCTGCCTCGTCAGCTCCAGCCTTTGCCCGTGTGTCTCTGTGTCTCCAAATGCCGCTCCTTCTTACCAGGACACTGGTCACTGGATGCCGGACGCACAAGAGTGGGCGGTTAAGGCAATGGACTTGAAGTGCGCTGGGATCCCCCCTGCAGTTTCAGATCTGCCGGCTGCGGGTGGCGGGGGCGGTGGTTATGCGGAAGTTTCTCTGTGAGGTTCCTCCTGCCCATTGGCCGCCGAAGACCGCCCAAACTGCCCGCCGTCCTGAGCGTCAGCTACGCGTTCACTGCTGACCCTCCATCTTGACTGGATGCCATTGCAAAACCTGTAAAGGGCACGCATGCGTACACACACACACACACACACACACACACACACGGCACCCAGTTCTGCACAGTCTCCTGAGGGGACAGTCTTCAAGTCCAGAAATGACCTGTGCTGCAGCGAGGCTCACTCTGGCACCAGCGAGCTCTCGGGTGCTCACAGGTACAGAGAAGGCCCAGCCGGGCCCAGCTCGGCTAAGCCCCTTCCCCGCTCGGGCCTGGAGGTCGAGGGCAGTTTCCCAGCACCTTCTTCTCCAGGGGATCCGAGAGGGCTGGACCCTGCCTACCGCTTCCCATCGGCCCTCCCGCTCTGCTGGGGCTTCAGGGCGAGCTGAAGGGAGGAGAGGTGAGCACGGAAGCAGCTCAGGGGGCCCGCCCCCGCCCCGGCAGCAAACTCCTGCCGCGTCCCGCAGACACCCGTGAGCAGGTGCGTCCCTGGGACCAGCGATGGAGTTGCGCGGCAGAGAAAGTCCGAGTCCCTGGTCTCGGAATGCTCCTTTGCGGTCCACCTTCCGCGCCGCGGTTGGGACCGCCTCGGCCGAGTTTGGCGCTGGCGCAGGCGCACCGAGCAAATCTCGGAGGCCAGTCCTGGTGTCCTGCAGCGAGACCTTCCGACAGAGGAGCCCGCTCTCATCTTCTAAATCGTTAACAAGAGCGCTATGGCTCCAGGTAGTCGTGGCCGAGTGGTTAAGGCGATGGACTTGAAATCCATTGGGGTTTCCCCGCGCAGGTTCGAATCCTGCCGGCTACGGTTTTAGCGGTTACCAGTTGTCTCTGCTTACCCCACCCTCCTGCTCCGGGTCACAAATCCATCTGGATTTCAGAGAGGACCGTGTCAAAAATGGACGCAGTCCGGTCGAGAGGTCGTTAAGGGTGGTCCGGATCTGAGGGGACAGTTTCTATTTTCCTCAATGGCAGCTCAGTACCCAGCCCAGCTCCCGGCCAGGCTCCCTCTCTGGCCGGCAGCATTTTCAGGGTGCCTCTCTTCCCAACCTTCCCCAGCCTCAAGGTCAGTCCTGCGGTGGAGGCGTTTCCCCCGGTTTGGTTCCCTCACGAGGGGCTGGTGATTTCCAGTTGGGGCTAGTGTAAACAGCGTCTATGTCTCCGGGAGGACAGGAGCAGG